TCTAGCGGTTGCAACGTGTTCGGTGGTCAACACCATATTTATACAGCTCCAGTTTGGCAAATCAATTCGCGCATTTAAAACTATTCACCACAAAAAAATCTCTGCGGTATACCTGAATTGCAATTCCATAGAATGCTACTGAAATGTATCCTGCAGAAATATCAGCCTCAATGGTAGTCAGAGAATGGGTGTCAAAATCCCCCCCCTCCCCTCCCTTTCCTTTCTACTCAACTAAACTTTGTCATAATGAGTTGCATTAATTAGGATCTCAAAACCTATAGGAAAAAAGATAGCAATTTTAATGCACGTGCTTCTGATTTGAATATCCTTGTAACCGATTGGAGCAAAAGTGCAAAATGGCAGTAACAGCACAGAGACGAAGTTGATCAAATTCCACTTATTCTGAAATTTATTTTAAGTGAAATAATTTAGCTCTCAAGATAGTTAGCAAAACTGGGATTGCCATCAAGGATTCACGAAGATGCCACTCCTCCACACACACAACATGACCTACTACTCAGTAGCCTTTGCACATAAATTAGAGGACTGTGGAACTGAGATCGTCAGGTTGAAAGATGAGTGCAGCGGTACTTGCAACGAGAACTATGCCACTATTTCGATAATTCAATAAGCTCCCCTTGGGTGACAGAGAATTCAACTAACAATGACTACAATAAACTCCAACCAAGGATAGTGGAAAAAACAGATTAAAGAAAACAATAGGAGAGAAAATTAAATTTACAAACTATTTTTTCTAAATTATGTCTAGATAGTAATACAATAATAATAAGGGTAGATGGAGAGGCGAGAGGAGGGGAGGAGAGAGGTGGAGTAGAGAAATAGTACAATACATGATAATAAGGAAGATACACACAGTCCGCGCAAATCAATCTCAGAGATCGAATTCTTCATTGCAAAAATCGAGGATGTTTATACTCTGCTCCTTTGTCACCGCCCCACTCCAAGTGTATTGGTATTTGCAGTAGGTGCCGTCAGCACCAAGGACTAAAAAGAGGTAGAACGGACGAACTATTTAAAACAATTTAAGTAGGCGTAGCAGCAACCGTAGCGTGGGAGGGCAACTCACCGATAATACAATCAGGATTATCAGGATTAAATACACAGATAAATTTGCAGTCGATATCAACTTGTATCCGCACCGTACTAACATTAGGGAAAATGCTGAGTTTTAATAGACCACCGGAACTAGAGGAGGAGGAGGCGTAAGAAGAGCATAAAAAGTGACCTCAAAAGTTGAACGGAGGTGAAAGTAAATCAAGTTAAACTCACAGTCCAGAATCCTGACGTTGAGGAGAACGAGATAATCGACTTGAATTTGGGCTGCTTGTGGGGATGTTAAGGCGAAAAATATGGACAGTATTTCGATCACTAGCAACAACTAATCGATGGACGAGTTGATCATCTACCAAAACCGGGTTGTGGTCGAAAGAAATCGAAGTAATTAAAGCACATTGTGTCCCCCTCCGTAATTCTTGGAGAAGGGTGCATGTTTTGGTATTGAAAATTCGAATTAGGGTTCCTTTTTCAGAAGCCGTTGCAATCAAATCGGCATCTGCGTTAAAAGCCATTGCCGCGAGAGCATTTTGATGGGCTTGAAAGTGTCGCGGGGGAGGAATGGCGGACGATGAAATATCCTTATTTTCAGGGGATGTGATGATGGTCACATATCCTTCACGAGTACTCGGAAAGGCAATGATTGGATTGCAGGCGTTTTGGCTAACTTGACAAAGCCCGGCAGTATTTAGGCAAGTATCGGATTGATGAAGGAGTTGTGGAGCGGATTCAAATGTGTAGACTTTAACAGCTGTATCCAGGACAACCACAAGCCTGCTTCACAAAAACACCCGTTAATGAAACGAAAACATAAATAACGTAAGTGATAAAAATTAAAAAAAACCTACCGATCTTTTCGCAATTTAACAGCACGAACGTTTCCAGAATAAGCAAGTTCAAGAATGAATTTCTGATTTATTCCGTCCCAGACGCAAGCTGTATTGCTGGGTATTCGAGGATGACGACCGCCACCAAGGATACCAAGATAATTCGTCCGAAAGAGCATTTCGACAAAGCCCACACCCATACCTTCGGAAATGGAAAAATCTAGAAATGAATAAATTATCAATCTCAAAAAATAAATTACCCACCCCATCTTCGGATTAACTTCAAAGGACTTGAGTTATAAATTCTGAAACCATTTTGCGTTCCTACAGCAAAGCAACCTAAAATAATTTGTAAATTAAAATAAAGATAAAACATACTACAGTCTTGATTAAACCCAACGAATGTAATCGCTCTACTTTCACTACCGAACGCCGGCAGCCTAAGAGTCATCCGACTATTTTATAAAGAGTAGGGACCTGTTATACATTAAAACACGTTCTTATCATAACATTAACCATATTATTTCTAAATAAAAGCTATCGTTTTTCATGCTCGTGGAAATTTGAATATCATACAATTAGTTTCTGTTCCCTTAATAATTAAAAAGTTAAGTTTTACAAGTTGTAGACAAGAAAATCTGTTTAAACGAGCTCTGGAAGCCTTTGCACTTTGGCCTTATTATTGAAATATTATTTTCATATTAATTTATTTTACACCTTTGCTAATAAACGTTGTCTTCATCATATCTTCTTCCAGAGCTGTTAGCCTAAATTATATTAAATCCAATATCCTCTGGAAGAACCGAATTGTAACTACCTATACAAACGCCATCCTACCACACTTCGTTCGCGAAGCATTAACGTTGGTGTTGCAGAACTCGCAAAATTTTTGCATATATTGAGTTTTATACTTAGACCGCTTTTTAAATATCTCAATGAAGCCTACAAGATATACACCAAAGCTATGAATACTCATTGAGCGAAGTAGTAGTTGCCAATAAACGCGTAAACACCGAAATTGGGCGTAAACAACGTCACACCAATCTTACGAGTTGAGGTGGCTCTTTTAGCGGTGACTGTATATCTTCCACCTGTGGCCCCGACCTACTTGACATTAAAAGTATAAGTAATATTCCAATAAATTGAAGAAAAGCTCGTGAGCTCATTACAATCAGGTCAAAAATTAGAACAAATTTTAAAATGAATGGTACAAAGCACCCAGTTAACAGTAGGAAAGCAAAATCATTCTCCAATCGACTGCTAAAATCTATGCTTGAAGTCTTGATAGCGATCGATAAGGTTGTTGAATGTGAAATATTACCGGCTAATTGGAGCTATTCTTTTCACCCTGTTGATTCTTGAATCGACATTCTACAAGAATACAAAAATAGCACTATGTTAATATTGGGACGAGTATTTTAATTTTATTTGATTGAACCATGTGCATAAAGCTAGAATTTCGACCTCTTCCTTCGTAATTTCGATCAAATCTTAGAGAAAGTAAGTTGAATTCCGTCTGTATTGTTTTCGCCTATTGATTTATATTGCGTATTTGTGGCCACTTCATAAGGTGAGCATAGGATGACTAATACATCGCTCCTTGTCACCAATTAAACGGTTTTGATAGGACATTCATCCTATTTGAGACAGTATTTCTAACTTATTAGGATTTTGTGTTCTGTCTTGTACTTAGGACAGAGAATGCCTTAGAAATAGCCTTTCGCGAGTGTTGGCTAAAACCATCAGAAGCACTTTTTATACTTATATTCTATTATCGGTTTCGGACATGTCAATTGGTGTACAGTGGATCTGGCAGGCTATCAGCGGGCGATGGTGGGGGGTGTTAAAACACCCCAGATTTCGAGATTAGTAGCCTAAGATTCTAGGAGCAGTAGAAGGCTCCGATTATGTGCAACGACATTGGCGGCCTGGTGATCAAGCGCCTTCCCATTCTCCAATCTTACCAACCAGAGCTCTACACTTGTATTCAAGTAATTCGCTGATCTTCCAAACGAAACCCAAGACACCTGACATTTGGAATTAACGATTGCCCAAAAGTTAGGTTTTAAGTGATTTTGTAGCATTCTAAGACCCGGCATCTAAGTAGAGATAATGACAATAATGTTCTTAAAAGAAAAGGTAATCTTGAATACGTACCTAGGGATGTAACGAGTGAATTCAGCTCGGAAACCTGGATTTCCATGTTGGCAATATTATTAAGTAGTTTATCAAGTGCTGATAACTGTCCATCAATCGCAATGCCTAAAATTGACAAAGGCACTAGGTTAACATCGTAAAATTGACCACATCGCTGGTGTTGTATTGTGGGGGGGGGGCATTAAAGACACAGCCATTTTGAATTAGTGAAGCCGATGGGCGTCAATCTAGCGGACAAATTTGCCGTCTTTGCACAAGGACCGGATTCAATGTAGTTATCTCTAAAGGTTTTTCAGGTCCTGTTAGTATTGAATGCATACTGTACTTATTTTAGCTGTAAAGCTAAAAACAGAACAGAACAACTGAGGTAAGTAAAGTACTTACATTCCTCGTTAAGGGGCTGAAGTCTTGCATGAAAAGACTTTGTGGCTTCCGCAATTTTCTCATATTTCCTCAAGGCGGCCATGTTGAGATCATTGACATGGGAGATTCGGTGCGTGTTCACTAAAGATACAAGTTTAAGAAGGGTGATGAGAGATTAGAACTGACGGTCTGCTGTTTGCCTATCTATTTTTTTCCCTCGTGACGCAAATTCAAGTCACAACTCCTATCTTAGGGGCTTTTTGCACTCAAAGACACTCCTTCTGTTCTATTTGAGGGGGGGGGGGGGTACCTCCGGTCCATTTAGGTTTATTCACTTCAAATTAAAGCGGTTTGAGTAGAATTCAACAAAAATGGGGAGGTGGGTGAGATGAAAGAAGCACTTTATTTCGGTCCTCACACCCCGCCTATTCGCACCCCGTCCCCGGGAATAGGAGCACACGCTTTGCTACGATGTTCAGTGCTAACACAGCGATAGGTTTCGATTAATCTATTCAGCATTTACTTGGTTGAGAGGGCAATATGGCACTAGGAAAGAATGATTCCATATGCGCTCTGACAGTTCTTTTGGACTCGAATAATGAAATAAATTTTGCTTGTTTTCCACCTCTAAGTCACCTATAACTCGAACTCCAGTCCGTTTCGTCCAGACGGACTTATTGATTGCAGTGCATTCACACTTACCTGCTTCTCCAAGCGCGACCTTGCATAAGTAGATTAAATAAACCAAAATACCACGCGTAGGTACCTGCTTCTCACCTGCCAGTTCGTATGCATACCTATCATCTCCCCCTCCCCTACTCCATACCTATAACTCTCAAAATCCCATCGCGGTTTATATTCAACAGCTCAGCCCTACTTCTTTGACCTGTTTTTTTACCTGCCTGCCTGTTATTCGTGACCTCGATTGTTACGTCAGCGCCAGCTTACACGAGATAAACGCACTCCTAAATTCTTACAACCGGTTAGTTGAAAGTAGTTAAGGTTGGAAAAGTAGATGAAATTGGGATTCTATATGATAGCCCACTTGTTGGACAATTAAAGTGCTCGTTTTGAAGGTGACCAGGAAGACAGGGCGAACGGTCTAACTAACTAACTAACTAAGTAGATTGAAATTTCAAGATTTAATATAAAAATTATAGTTCAATTGATACAATGGAAAAAGGACAAAAAGGAAACGAATGAGACACAGACCCAAAAGACCATTTTGAATGTGCTTCGTGAGAGAAGCGATTACTCTCTCGGAGGAAAAAACTGAACTCTCCTCAGTCATTTGCAGTCAATTTCCCCTATTTAAATTAAATTAAAATAGTAATTATGTAAGTAATTTCATTGAATACAAGTAGACAAGTGCCTAAACTACAGCTCAGAGACAACACAGCGGTGGTAATATTACAACATATATATTAAAAGACATTTTTAGGAAAGGATGTTTATTGGGACAAGAATGTACAAGGGAGGGAGAAAGAGCCGGCTTAAATACAATGGAATTGGACTTCCTGAATCCACCAAGTAGTACTATTCAGCAACTTCATCTCCTTGATCCTCCTCCTCCTCATCATCATCATCATGGGGATTCATCGCCTGTTGGCTGAGGGTTGCTAGGGCAGCTGCAATGAGAGCATCTGATTGGTTAGGATTCACCTTCTCGTATTCGGCCTGCGAAAAATGAAGAAATCACGTAGATTAGCAATAAATCTAAAGTAACAAATGTGGACCAACGTTTTGTACTGATTAAAGGACCTACGTATCCGGTAAAATTATCAAAGATGAAAATGAAGTTGCATTGAGTAAAATAAGTGTGAAAAAAGAAACTTGCTTTCAATGCTGCAATCAAGTTTTCAGCCTTGTTAAGTTTGTTCTTCAAAACAAAGAGACTGTTTTGAACACCGTCCAAGTCAACAGTGGACTCCAAAAGAGCAGCATTGAAGTCTGAAAGTGAAGATGTCAGTGAAACGCCTCAACTCAAACATTATTCATTTTCATTGTTTTGGATTTTTTCTGTTTTTTTTTTCAATTCACTTAGAAATTTAATAATGGAGAGTTAAATTAGAGAATTTCCATAGGAGAATTTGCGGATTTAACTTATTTGTCGGGCGTGAAAATTTTAATCACTTCATCAATTATAACAGGGACATTCAGAACGTAAATTAGTGGGAGGGAGGAATATGTCAATTCAAAGCAGTGCAAAAGAAACCGATCAGCATTTAATTATTAACCACAGCCACAACTGACCTTGAGCGGTTTTAAGGCATTCTCGAATACAGGAGTCCTGTACTTTTGTTTCGGATTCCAACTTTGAAAGGGAATCATTTTCGTTTATGGCTCCGAGACCTTCATTCCTTTCCAAAAGCTGCCGGAAACAGGTCATCAGACGTCGGCCAGAAGCGCTAAATCAATTAAAGAAGATTAATGAAATTTGCATTAATAATGGAAATTAGATTTCACATCAGATTCCAAGAGACCGACTTAAGATATCCGCAACACAAAGGTTTATACCGCGATGAAGGATAAAGCCCACGCCATTATTCTTGCCTCTATATCACGACTACGAAAATCAAATCTTTCTGGGGAAAAAAGTACGAAGAGAAAGGCAAACAACTTAATAGCTTAGAAAAAAATAAAGAAGAGTAAATAACGAAATAGGATGAAAAACTTTAAAGTTTGAGAGTGAAAATTCAAAATAAATCCTAAAAATTCTAGAAAATAATGGAATGAGGGCAGGAAAATTAAGACCTAGAACACAAAAGGAGGGAGGGGGGGGGATGTGTCGTGCACATATTTACCTATCAGGAGTAAATTTCCAAGCCAGGAGATCATCATAACTTTGCTGCTGTTCGGATTTTACACTCTTGATCAACTCTTGAGCTTTGTGATATATGAAATCAAGCGCAGGATGAACAATTTCAGACGACTCATTATCGGAAAGAGCAACTTTTCCAGAATCAGTGCCGAGTTGTGAGGATAAATGAGGGCGTTTAAATGGCTAAAAATTGCATATAAAGATAGTTTATTTTTACCAAAAGGAATTCCGCTTGAGCTAGTCGAATGTCACTGGCAATGAATTTCTTTATATACTCAGCCTCCTTTAATGAACAATCCTCTTCACATAATCTCAGTTTCTCACCTAATCTCGATTAGGAAGTATAAATTATCATTATTGAAATACTTACGTAAAACCTCGTTTTGTTCCTCAATTTTCTTCAATTTGCTCTCTAACCTTCCAATCGCAATGGCTTGTTCTTCGGCTCTATGAACAAGATTTAACATCAAATAAATGCAATTACATAAGTTCCATGTCGGGAAGCGAATTTTTAGTGCGAAAATTAGACTCATTGAGAGCCATAAATAAACCTAAATAATAAAAAATGATATAAATAAGGAATAATTCTAATAAAGGCCAGAGATATGTATGCCATAACAAAATGATGGTACATAGAACAAAACTGGATTTACTACTTCAGAATAATTACTTAATTGGAAAACTATTTGCTTCAAAAATATTTAGACTTATACCAAATGGTGTTGATTTAATAGGCTATTGGAGTTCCAAGGCCAACTCACAAATGTTCGTATTTTCAAAGTTACTTAAAACAATTCATATTTTTATAAAGTCCGAGCTTTTGAATATTTACTTCCATGGAAAATTATGTTGGAAATTTAAGTCTTATGTTTGTCTTATCTTTTAAATATTCGTTTTTTAAAAGTCTTTCTGTTGTCAGTCATTTTCTTTTACTTATTATGTATGCACTTCGTTGCTCCTCTTATTGCTAAATCCCTTTTTTAATTAATTCGTTTGCAGTTTGTTTGTTGACTATTTTTGTTAGCCAATATTTTAATTAAACTTATCAGTTTGAGCTTGAGTTATAAATTTCATGAACATTTTAACATGCCAAATTTAGTTTGGTTTATCTGTGCCATTTTACTAAACTACTATACTCGGATGCACCCTATCTCTCGCCTCACTAAATGGCAAATCTCATTTTCCAATATATCAATTCCATATTAAACGTAACTATGTTCTTATCCATCCGGTATCCCATAATTACATTTATTCATTTAGTTATCATTTTTTTACAGAACTGAATCAATTTTACTGATTCATTAATTTTTGTTCACCGATTGGATTTCCTCTCGTGGAAGATATTCTTTGCCAACAATCAGCCAATAATACATGTTGCACGAGTCAACTACTTATCTAAGTGAACCATAAGTAAAGTGGTTTCTCCCGAAGTGGGGTCTACCAAATCGTGTTCTCAAACGGAACTACCATTGCCTATCGTGATCCTCTAGTGCATACTTAAAAAAGATGAAATCGCAATTTTCAATGAACACTAATAAGAAGCATAAGCAGACTGTGGCTTTTCATTTCCACCTCCCACCTGCTCTCAAACCGAAAAAAGTTTTGATATTACTTCATCAATTTTGCCATTATATTTCCTTCCTCGCTGTCCTTACCACTGTCGAGGAAGGTAAAGAAGGCAAAATAGAAGGGGGGGGGGGTTGAATAAGAGAGATTTGAAATTATGTAGGAAGTGAAGCAACTGCAGAAAATGCTAATGCAAGTAAGAACAGGGGAAATATAAAGGAGAAAAGTACATGCTCTCTAGTTCGAAGGATTCTAGCTCGTCCAAGGTTGGCCAGTCACTAAAAACGAAAGGAAAAAAAGAATTAATTATTCTTATATAATGCCAATAACATGGGTAGTTTAACTTACATAAATCAGAAGTCGGTGGCATTTGGACGTTAATAGGTGGCATGCCAGGTGGGGCGATGTTTGCAGTTGAAATCAGAGGAACAGGCTGTATTAAAGGTGCCTCCATTGAAGGTGGAGGAAATTGAGGTAACATCTGTGGAACCTGATGATGTTGGAGGTGACTCTGAAGTGGAGGTGGTGAAACCTAAAGAGAATAAGTAAAAAAAAAATAATATGCAATCATCTAAATAGGTGAAATCAAGCAGAAGAAAGAAATGAGTAAGAGTCCATCTTTCTTGATAATTGTCATGCCAAATGTGATGCATGTTATGAGAGACACCTGATTTCAATTAACCAAAATTGAACAACATATTGAAAACCCTTCTCCTTGACTCCACACTTCTGTCCAAGATGAGAGTTGAAAAACATCCACCCCAACCGGATTCGAAAGTCATCAACTCACACCTTACGCTATTCTATCACTTAATGGTGTTTCAACCTACCAAGAGTGCAAAAGGTGATTAGAATATCAAATGCAGTCTCCCGTATTGGATTTCTGTGAGAAACGATCGTCCACTTGTTATTAGATCGTAAATATCTATACACATTTTAAGATTTCTCAACCAACCAAATTGGGTTAATAGTGAAGTAAGAGGTCGCAAAATGAGAACAATCGGCCAGATCAATTGCCTTACCTGTTGCTGAATGCCCTCTATAGAGACAGCAGGTTGTGGCTGTGATGGCATTGGTAGCATAGACGGTTGGGGAGCGGAGGGTTCCACAAGCGACTCGGAGGGAGGCATAACAAAGGCCGGGGGAGTGGTGGGAGGTGTCAGGTGGAGGCCTTCAAAGAGATTACTCGGAAGGGGTGCAGGAGGCGCCAGTGGTATCCCATTAATTGTTGTATCAATGGTCGGCGGTGGTTGGGGTGTATACATCTGTGATTGAGTTGTATTATTTGTCGAAACTCCCTCGTATTGCTGCATAAAAATATGTAATGAGAGTGGGAGGCTAGTAAAAATATAGCAATCATTTTGGTGAAAGTGGATATCTGTAAAATCAGGGGTAGAATTTGAAACCAACCGGCTAATATGCAGAAAACTAATCGAGAGGGGATTGGTGGAAAGAGATTTTCCAAGATGATGACCATTGAGAAGCATGTTCTTCTAATGGACTTGGGAGCAGTAAGTACAGCAGATTTTAATTGTAAACTTCCGTGTTATACTTTTTAATTATACAGTAAATTGCTGACTTTCATAATTAATTAAATACTTTCAATTAAGATTGAACGTGACTTAATTACAACAACTTGTTGTGATCCCAATTAATGTAATAGACTGACAATACTACCAACTTGTCACCGCCGTGTCTTATTCGCAACATGTTGGAAAATGCAGCTTGTAGGAAGTTAGCAGAGGGATAGCTAAGATGGAATCGAATAAATCATAGATATGCCAATGTCGAGGTAAAAGTTGAATTATGAAAAACTAACCATTTGTCCTTGAAGAAATTGAATTTCCACCTTATGGAAGCTTACCATAAATTGTGAAAATGACGCTCATCTCTAAATATGAATTTTAAGATGTAAATAGTTAGAATTGAAAGTTACTACTACTACTAATAATAATAATAATATCAAGGGGAACTCGTGATTTTGGTTCCAATGATGAGATATCGACTTGTTGATTGTTGTTACTAAAGTGGATAGACATGAAATTGGACCCAAACACACACACACAACACCTCCAAACCGATTTGCCATCAACATGACGAGGTGCAGAAAGTACTCAAACTTGGAATGTAAATATTTGTAGCAAATAATCAACAAAGCTTGGAACATTTTGAGATAGGATTTAAATTAGAAATCAAAAAAAAGAAGAAATTTCAAAGCTCACAGGAGGCTGTTGAGTCATCATGGGTGGTGGTGGTTGATAAGGTGGTGGAAGATATTCAGGGGGCATGTTTTGTTTGGGCTGTTCAAGTTGTTGTGCCTTCAAGTCTTGATCTGCTGATAGTGGTGCCTTTTTAGCAGTGCCATTAGTCTGGGGTGGAGGTATTCGATGGAGGTAGCCGAAGCCGATTTCACAGCCAAGCATGCCATCACCGCCCCAGGAGAGATTCGGGATTAGAGTCACCTCACGACATTGGTCGCTCGTGGTGTTGTAGACGTACAGACGCAGCGGCTGACCGTTGTGAGCTTCCACCACAGAGAAAAAGTCCTCAGACTAGAAAAGAATTTGTAAAAAAAGAGATACATAAAAAGCTTTTATTCACTTCGCGTGGCAAGTTTATCGGGAGTTTGATACCTCTTACTACACATAATACTATCAGCCATTTTTAATTCAACAAATCACTATTCAAGCACTGTAAATAGTAGCTGGACTCCTTTTGATTTTTGTCACATCCCCAGTCAATTGACCATTATCTGAGCGGTTAAGTATTCTCATGTTGCTCACTTCACTTCTATTGGCACTTAAATCCATATTTCTCTCAAAACGGTCCTCCATTTCTTGCTGTCTATTTCCTCGAGGACAAATCAGATAAGGTTAGACAATGATGATATAAAGTTGCAACTATCAGACAGAAGCGATATCATACATTCCATGGAATCTCCTTGTCGTGTCATCAAACAATTATTCCGAAATCCCGTCACGCAAATCATATATGCCGCCTAAAGGATTACAACAAATGTTGCTGTAGTTTTGTTTATCTAGAACTAAACATATCGCCAGGTAATATAAAGTCTCTAAAATGTCCCCATTCGAGAAAAGACTGGGGTATTTATCGCCCTTAGAGATGGGCACCGATGACTAATAAACACAAAGAACGAGGAATAGTATTAAGTGGTTGCACTGAAGTTCCCTGAACTCCCCTAAATCTTAGCCTTGCTGAACCCAAAAAGGCACCTTTTACTTTGTCCTGGTGGATTCTTCACAGTGGTCAAAAGTCAAATCTCTTAAATCTGTCTAGTATTCACCATTCGTAGATTACTAGTAAAACTACTGTGCCCAGCGATGTTACCTGCTTCTCCTCCATCAGATTTGAGGACTTTTGTCATGGGCTCAAGTTCTCCCATATTCAATCTCTACCTAAATTTGTTAACAGTACGAAAACAATGTATCGTGTCACAAATTGAGGAGACAGTGATAGACTTTGGATACAGCACTACACTTACTCTGGTGTCCAAATATGAATACACCACCATAAAAATGCTTACACTAGATTTGCAAAATTAACTTAGCCGCGGGAAGTAGATTTATCTGTATTCAATGTTCAGTTCTGCAAATGAGCGATCAGTAGAACGCGAACTGGGTAGGAATACTTGTACCACCCCTTCTATCACATTAGTTACATTTTCCCTGCAATGTACAGACCATTTACAAGACTCACAGAAATAGAATACACTTAATTCATACAAATGTCATTGAATGCCCAGCTATCCTGTTCTCCAATATTACCCAGAGGAAGCTATTACAGGTGAAGGAAAAATACTTTGATTTCTCCCAGATAGATTCGTTTGAAAATGCGCATGCTTGATAAACTAGCAAAATATATTCTAAAGTAAATTAACTTAAGTAAATCCATTACAGAGCCTATTGATAAGAAACCCGAAGTATAGCACTTCCTTATGCTACGGGCTTATTACGAAAGTTTGATACAAGGAACGTGTGAATATGTTATTGTAGATTAGCTACATCTATCATAGTTACACACACTCAGCGCTTAAGACAAATATTTTGAATGTGCCAGTTTTGGTTCAAGAAAAATAAAAGGACATACACATAGACAACATTTTATCTTACATATTTACAAAATTTTATTATGGTATGCAAGCATAGCATTTATTGCCCTATAAATAGGACAGGAGATCACAGCCAGATTTATTGAGTGAATAATAGCCCATGTTAAGAAGAAAAAATCAATAAAGCAACAACACCTGTTTTACATAAATCAACTGCTTGCTCATAATTAATATCCAATTTTTCAGGACAAATATAAAAATAATTGGAAAAAACTACAGACCGAGATTAAAAAGAAGTACATAACAAAACAAACTGACGAAACATAAATAAAATAACAATAATATTCAAATTAATGCTTACATCATTGAATACGGCATCAGTACCGATTATGTAGTCGGTAAATGGCTGCAAACCAGCCATTGCAGCAGGTGAACCAGGGTAGACCTCCAGAACATGCCAAACATTCTCATCAACATTTTTGAAAGAACAGTATCGAATGCTGAGTCCAAGAAGACCCTGTCCTCCCCAATTAGCGTGTGGAGTAAGAATAACCTCCCGGAATTGTTTAGTCTTAGATGAATAAACCCGCAACTGCATTGGTTTGTCCTTATACCTCGAGAGTACGTTCTTAATAGCTTCACTGTCTTGTTCCTATATATGAAAATATGTTACATAAGCAATAAAATGGTTTAACTTACAAGTCGGAGATCTCCAACAGACACTATGAAATCGAAAAATGGCTCAAGACCTGCTTGTTGACCAGGAGATCCATCTTGGACCTTAAAGTTACGTTATGCATTATTTAAATTAAGGTTAACCTTAAGGATATGATATCCAGCTGCGCTATCATTAAGACTACTCTCTGCCGACCCCATTGGGAAAATACCAACGTACACCAATTTCACAAATAACATTAACCATCAGATTTCTTAAAACAAAAAATTTCTATTCTTAAAAATTCTTCAAAAGGTTGATGAATTACAGTTCTCACTAACACTAAAAAATTTTTATAGCAATTTGCGTTATGTTTTAAATGTAATAACAGTGAATTTCATAAACACATTAAAAGTAAAAAAATAAAATATATTTCGGTTATTGTACTAACTCGATTTAAATCGTGATATATTTCTCGAATAGACTCTTTCAGTGTTTACTGTTCGTGTTTTTCAATTATACATTAAATGGTAGACGCACCTTGCATGGAAACTTAAGGCAGGTAATCGCTATAAATGTACATTTTGGGTGGCAAGACACTGCTTAAAATGTAAACCTATTTTAAGAAGAATTTTATTTTATTTTTTCTTTAATTTAGGAATCTTCAAATAACAGTGTATTTATGCGGCAAAATTATAATCGGTATTAAAATATGGTGTGATAATTATTTTTAAGATATTTTTACTTTATTCTGCGAAAATAATATGCGATTTTATTCTCACAACATTCAAATATATTTTTAAGATTGTCTAAAGTAATATTAATACAATTTATGATATTACCCGCTCAATTGGAAATTTCGTCAAGTGCTTAAAAATGAATAGGGGAAATCGATCAAATAAGGCTCTCGTACAGCCTATTGTAATTTCGATATTATCTTACTTTCATTTTTCTCTAGACGGTTATTTTTGGCCATATGCAGTCAAAATCTCCAGTCCAAATATGGCTGTATGAACAAAGCAATATTCGTATTGAGGGCAGAATCGTTGGCTTTGATGAATATATGAATCTTGTTCTGGTGGAAGCCTGCGAAAGGCATATGAAATCCGGTGCAAAGAAGATGATTGGTAAAATATTTTTTATTGTTAATGCTCTATCTTAGGTCGCATTTTGTTGAAGGGAGAGACAATAACTCTAATTCAAAAGCTTCCTCAATGATCGATTTTTACTCTTTGTATCGTCTAAATTTGTATAAAGCTTGTTGTTATTGTGTATCAATTTTTTGATACTATCGCTATTTCACTTCTTGTTGGAATTATTTTTGATTAAATGGTTACTTCTCACGGAAACTCATGGCAACAACGAAATTCTCAATAATAATTAATAAGGTTGCTACTTTGGTCTGTACGACATTTCCACAGTCCATACGTTAAGCGTGACTTAGTCGATGGTGTAAAAAGTACAAAACAGATGTGTTTTTGGCAAAGTATTTTTAACTTTGGAATCTGAAATTCATACTAGATTTACTTTTAATTTTGTTGTGCTTTTATCTTTCAAATTAAATCTACTTGTACGAAATTTATATTGACTGGAGCTGGTCTAGCAAATATCAATCACTACTTGTTTATTTTCGAACTTCATACATCATTGGGGTCTCTTTTATCTCAATTTGTTGAGTTAAACTTAATATTTGTTACCTTTTTTTGACTAATTTTAAATTTGAGGAGGCGGTGTTTAATTCCTCCTGATTTTTTTAGTAGCCCTTGCAGTTTTATATACTGTAACGTTTTACTTATCTTAAGATGTCTTTAAGTTTCCAGTATCAGTGTGAGGGTTTATTGTATTATTGTTACCAATGTCAATGCAAATTTCTTTATAAGGTCTAGATACGGGAAGTGTCGGTATAGTTATTTCAGTGGATGGCCTTATGGCTAGGTCATGGGTCTCGTTTTAAAAGTGTTCTCGAAGCCTGTGGTTGTTTACATCCTTTTAGGCCGTGCGAATCATATTTTAATATCTTAATGTCCCAAGCCCTACTTATTTTCCTTGAAATCTAGATTTTCGTCAAGTTATGTACTCACTGTTTTTGATTCATTTGTGTCAAGTATACCGATGAGGCCGTGTCGTACTTGCCCTACTTAATTCCTATAAGTACACATTCAAAGCGCAATTAGAAGCATTTATTAAAGGTCCTATTAATCGTATTTATAATCGTGCAAACATATGTTGGTACCTAATAAAATTAATCATTCGACTGTCGTGCACAATTTTTTGTGCTTTGAAGTGGGGTTATTTGTTATGGCACGAAGTGTCTGACTCATGCTCTTTGCAAGGGGCCTCTACAAAATGTACCCTTTGTGAGTCATTTTCAGCAATGGTATTCTAGTACCGAAAGCCTTTCAAAGTGTGGTGTCAAAATGAAGAGTGCCAACAGCACTTGAGTTAGGATTGTTAGTTAATTGTAATTTGAAACGAGTTTTAAATTTTTGAACATAGAAGAAAGATGTGTTTCTGAAGTGGCTGAATATCAATTAGCTGTTTGCTAACTGCGTTAGTTGTTCCTATTATCAAAATGGCTTTCCCTTTATCTTCGATGTTTGCATAACTTATTTGCTTGAATAACTGTCAGCATGAAGAATACTATTCGGACATCTTACTTCTGCTGTGTTTAAAGTCCAAGCCACTGAACTTCATGAGAGGTTCTTTGTCTTTTCCATGATACTCGAGCTAAAATTCAATGCTTCCTTGTTTAGATAAATTTAAGCGACGTGATTATCCAAACAAAATTTGTATTTTAATTATGTTTATTTGGTTTACTGCCTGTCGAATGAAGAAATAGTTACCCAGATAAAGTGGAACATGACAATTTTTGAAAATTGTTGAGATAAAGTAGGCGGGATTTCAACGCTGGTTGAATGTTTTAGAAATGGTAAGCTTTTTATTATGGGCTGAGATTCCTTCTTCAACTGGTTCCTCTCAGAGATCTTGGCCACAACTGCTTTTCTATTATCTTAGTTCAATTATAGGTTGTGCGATATGCTTACCTCCATGTGGTGCACCCTGGGCAATGTATACTCATGCGGCAAAAAAGTCTTAACTAACAGTTGACCTCAAACTACCATGACCCTACTGTGTCATATTCTTCTACTTCCACAGTACACGTCTTACCCTACTCTCGACCTTTGTGCCTGTCTCTTTTACATTTTTGAAACACTCTTCTGTTCCTCACCCAGTCTCGACCTTTTTCTCTTTGATGTTCCTTCTCCTCTGTGAGGCTTGAAATCAACTAAAGGGCTAACGATAACCATCAAAACGCCTCCCATTTGATATTCAAGTATTGAATAGTAGCTTTGATTTTCAAGTTATTGAGTTAATAGGAGAAATTTCGGGAGTAATTGAGAAGTATGTGCAAATTTTCGTCTCAATCTGATCACCTGCAATAATAACTTAACAGGCATTCAATCGCACATTTCTAGAGACCATCTTTTGTGTGGTTGGAAGATTGTCTTCCCTTAGCGGGCCTCCAGTAATGCTCTAATTTCAGTATGATATTATTTACATTTTTTAGGTACTAAAATATTTCTTCCACAAAGTAGCCAACAAAGGGGATTCTGCCTTTAATGCCCATTGAATTGCAATATTTCTTAATGCAATCATATCTCACTTAAAATGAGAAATTTTTAGTCACTAGCGGGCATTAAGTTGGGTCTAATACCCCCCCCCCCACCTCACGAGCAGGAAAGCCTTCTTCCAAAACTACTGAAACTGTAATCTCGAGGCGGACTCAATGCCCCTTGAAAGCCCAATTGACAAATTCCAATATGACATGACTAGAAAATTTGAGTTCACGAGAAACGACGCTCTTCCAGTGATGTGCATGACCAACTGCGTTAGCGATATAACGTGGGTTCCTCATCAGGGTGATGATGTTCTCTGGAGGTAGCACAGCTGCTTCCGCTGGGAAGCTGAATGGAGAACTTTTGATGAAATATGGGGGGGAGACTCTAAGAGCTCACCCACCAACAGCCCTAACTCCCATGATCTGAACTACCGATTATGGACCTACTAAGCTCAGACTTTGGCATTCGGGACCACCAACTTAGAATCCACCACAGCCAAATAAGGCTAAAGTCTATAAACCGACAGTTGACTTCTGACTTCAAACTAACATAACCCCACTGTATAGCATGTTGCACCACTTTCACGGTACTCACCTTGGCTACCTTTGTGTCAGTCTCTCACATCTGTGAATGACTCTTCTGTTCCCCCCCCCTCTCTCGACATTTTGTCACTTTGATGATCCTCCCCTCTGTGAATCCCGAAGTCAACTTAAGGGCTACTGATGACTATCATAAACCCCTCCATTTGATATTTATTTATTTCAAATGGCAGGCTTTAGGATATTTATCATCGGGGTGTGCGATAGACTTACCTCCACGTGGTGCACCCTGGGCAACGTATACTCATACGACAAGAGTCTATTAACTGGCGGTTGACTTCTCACTTCAAACTACAACGACCTCCCCGGTTGTCATATTCGACCCCTTTCACAGTACTCACCTTACCTTTTTCTCTACCTTCGTGTCTGTCTGCCTCTTTTACATCTGTGAATCGCTCTTCTGTTCCCCACCCCTCGACTTTCTGCTACTTTGATGAACCTTCCCTCTGTGAAGCCCGAAGTCAGCTAAATGGCTAATGATATCTATCAAAACGCCTGCCATTTGAAATAAATAAATAAATGATATTTATCATTAGCCCTTCTCCATTCGATATAAATATGAGTAAATAAAGTAAAGGCATTTCATCCTCTCCCTTCTGCTGTTTGCATAATTGAAAGTTTAATAAAGAGCAGGTGAGCACTATGAAACTGTCCAATTAGACAACTTACTTTAAGTTGCAACAATTTTTTTTAATGAAAATTACATTATGAAATTTTCAGGTAAACAAGGAATAAATAGGAGGAAATGGCGGCAACAGAATTGGCATAATTCGAGATAAGTTAATGACAGTTCATTGTCTACTAAAGTGATCGAAGTTGCAGTAGGAGTATGTTGTGTGGATAGATGTTCACCACTCCCCACCCCCTTCTTACAACTGCCAAATGTATCCAGGTGTAATAACTCCAGAACCATCCAACTTGATGTTTCCTTGGAGGTTGGCAGTGAGATAAGAAGCCTTTCGTTGACCCCCAACCTGTTTCAGGCATCGCAGAAGAGCGAATTTGTCATCAGTCATGCAGATTACAAACTCCGTTTCAAGACTGGCTCCTTGGTTGTCTCCAATTTCATCGGGTCCAGCATTGCTTTCAGCTAGTGCCAAATTGCCTTGACCTGTGGCGTAAAGTATCATCCAACCACTGTCCATTTCTGGTAAAGTAAATGAAGGTCTGTTAGATAGAACTCAGGTGTAAGGCAGGAGATTCAATGACAGTATTTGCAACGGAATAATTTAGCTCAAAAGATTAATTTGGTTAATTACAAAAAAATCGATAATTCTCATAGTTTTACAACAGACCAATAAGCCACGACTATACCATGGACAAAAAGTTGCTCTGTAGAGCATGGAAAATTACGACATTTTGGCCTCAAGAGGTAATTGGCGAAGCAAGACTTGGACTGTTGAAATATTTTTCATCAACGAAAACTGCATTTCCTTCATCTCGAACAAAAAAACCCTTTTTATTGTAAATGTGTAAAAATAACTCTTGTTTTAATGGTGCCCAGTTCACCTTACTCAAATTTCATTCACACATGATTGACTTGATAGCTAACTGCACTTCTGCCTTCCCTGTTACCTTGGCAAGTATTTGGAACTTTTGGTCTCCCAATATCTCACCCCCCCCTCTCGATCTCAATTGAAAGATTTTACTCAAATATTATTATTATTTTTCTACTTTTCTACCTTCGTCTTTGAAACACTCTTCTGTCCCCCCCCCCCCTCTCAACCTTTTTCACTTTGATGTTCCTCCTCCCCTCTGTGAAGTCTGAAGTCAACTAAAGGGCTAATGATAACCATCAAAACGCCTGCCATTTGATATAAATAAATAAACGATATATAGGCGCATAATGTCTGATCATACGATAAAATCTTTTCGCGACACGGAGACTGATCTTCCGGATCTTTGTGGACAATATGGCGACAAGCACCAGCTACTTCTCATGAGATTACTGAAGTTAGTTAAAAAGGAGCCAATATAAGCTTTCAACTGTGAGTTAAATAAGGAATGATCTCCAAGTCCACAGTCGGAAATCAGAATAACAGTACGACTACTAAAGAACTTACTAGTGAAAAATTGGACTGTTCCATTTACAAGGTTCCTTATGAACCATTGTTGAGGTACACAACTTGTACAATCCACAGCGGAGGAAGCACCGAAGCTAGTACGCCGAGCATTTGAGCTGTGTGGGGTTATAGGAGCAAGGTAAGCACATGCCAGAGGTGAGTAGATTGCTACCGATGTGCGATTGATCAGAGGAAGGAGGTGCAAGACTTCAGGCGGCGTTGGTGTCCATCCAGAAGTGTCTGCAAGACGCTCAGTTGCACCAAGAGCTCCCAGAGGCTTCACAGCGGTTGACCTCCCTTCTAAAGTGCGGATTACAATTCCACCGTATGGATTAATCTTGGTCTTAGTGCCCCCATCTTCCTCCTCCTGGTATGAGGATATGTAGAGAATTTCGAATTGTGTCGATGGATCTTTGCTGAAATCAAAAATCAATTAATAAAATATCCGCATTATTATGGAATCGAAAACAAAGGAGAAGATAGTTGGATAGTAAGTTTAAATATAAATTAAGACAATGACAGTGAATTTAGTTATGCAACTTTTGAACCAATTTGTTCTCATGTGGTTTGCGTACTAAATCATGCGCCTTCTGCGCGGTCCTTTACAAAGTGGATTACTTCAAAAAGTACTTGGTGGAGAAAAAATCGATAAAAATAGCGACTTAAGCTAATAGAATTTCAAAAAAAAACTGCTCAGCTTCTTTGATTGGTGTGAAGTAGTTGACGGGCGGATGGATGCATTTAAAATACGCAGAGCCAATTCCTTGAACTTTCATCTAACTAGGAGTCAAGTGGCTGGAAACTATTCAGCATACAATATAAAAGAGAAAAATGGTAAAATTTGCATAATTAATTCTCAATTAAGCATCGCAAACACTAAGAGAGGATGCGGAGTTGTTCATAGTCGATAATCGAAATTCGCAAAAAAATTTACACAAAGGCGAAATTTCAGGGAAACCTGAGCTAAACTGAAGTTCTATTCAACCGTTCTCTTCTTGAATGGGAAAGTCCCTCCCATTGGATGGCCAATGCATTCACTGGATGGCAGCAGTTCCTATTAATCATTACGCAGTAGCGAACCAAGTGTGTACAACCCCATGAGCAATATCACAATAGTGAAAATTATGTGTCTATTGGGGGGTGTGCGATAGACTTACCTCCACGTAGTGCACCCTGGGCAACGCATACTCATAGGGCAAAAAAGTCTATTAACTGACAGTTGACTTCTCACTTCAAACTGACATCACCCCACTGTATGTCATATTCGACATCTTCCGCAGTACTCACCTCACCTTTTTCTCTACCTTTGTGTTTGTCTGTCTCTTACGCATCTGTGAATCGGTCTTCTGTTCCCCACCCCTCGACTTTCTGCTACTTTGATGAGCTTCTCTTCCCCACCCCTCGACTTTCTGCTACTCTGATTAATCTTCCCTCTGTTGTTCCCCACCCCTCGACTTTCTGCTACTTTGATGAACCTAGAGGGGTAGCTATCAAAACGCCTGCCATTTGAAATAAATAAATGTGTCTATTGATTAATCAATGACCTACCAATCTTGGGGAGCAAGATCAGCGGACCCGGAGGAGGGGATTCGCCAGAGGCGGCCGTCCTGTGCGCGAAGACGCCAGAGTCCAGTGGTGAGGTAAGAGCGGCTCTCGTCTGTTCCATCAAAGTTGAAGACAGCCGGTGAGCAGTCAGCAGAGGGAGTAGTAGAGGTGTTTGCAATGGCACTCATGTTCAAACCCCGACCACCGCCAAGGTACTCCAACTGATACACCGTCTCCTTCTCCTCGTCTGTCTCTCCCATAGTAGTGGAGAATGTTAGGCCTGCACATTCAGTAGAATAGGAAAATATTTTTTGAAAAAAAAACACCAGAACATACTTAGCTTCAACATTTACAATCCTTTTTCCCATACGCATGTACCCGAAGAATAAGCAATGGGGTGGAGTTAAGATATGACTGAAGGCGCGCTAGTGCCCTGAAAATCGATGATACTGTGTAAAATTTGGCGTTGAATCAATCAAGTGCTAATAAATTAACTATTACTGTCAGATTAAGGGCATGGAATACTGAAATGATATTTACGGGATGGTGGCTTGGTGTGGCCAAAGTGTTCGCCTGCTAAATCAGAGTTCAAAAGGTCCTTTCTAGAATTCCAGTTTTTCAATAAAGAGATCCAGATCTTGGCATTATTTCACCCAGAATTAGTATTGAACAGGGTGTGCGACAGACTTGCCTCCACGTGGGGCACCCTGGGCAACGTATACTCATACGGCTAAAAAAAGTCTATAAACCGACGGTTGACTTCTAACTTCAAGCCATCATAACCCTACTGTATGGCATATTACACCACCTTACGGTACTCACATTACCCACCTTTGTGTCTGTCTCTCTTACATCTGTGAATAACTCTTCTGTTCCCCCCCCCCCCACCCTCCTCTCTCGACTTTTTGTGCATTTCATGTTCCTCCCCTCGGTCAATCCCGAAGTCAACTAAAGGGCTACTGACGACTATCATAAAGCCTGCAATTTGATATAAACGAAAATTTGCCCTAAAAAGGCCAAAACCCGATCTCTCATCGACACACACATGGAGAGATAGGAATCCACTTTCAACACTCTAACAATGGATCGCCCTTGTAACTTCGTCATTTCATCGAAGCTCCCGGGATCTGTGACACAAGGTAAACGGATGGAGAACATGAAGTAACGGAAAATTTGGCATGAAGTGGCGTGATAACACCAAGATGGTTCCCATAATGTTGCATCTGTTCAAGTTCTAACGGGATAAGTGGACCATCAAATTTGAATCATTATTAGAGATCAACCATATAATGCCACTAAGTTTGAAAATTCAGGATCGATAACTGAGTGAATACACAGATTTCCAAGTATGTAAGATCCGTTCAATCCGATGATTACTTAAACAACGTTGGCGCTCTCATCAAATCCAATTCAAATTGGAAGGGAAAGTCATGGTGGAGCTATAATATGCCTGCCATCACCAGAGATTGGTATTGATTTGACCATTCTAAGAGCCACTTCTCGGATGATTGAGGATTTCACAGATTTAAGCAGTCTGGTTTCGTTTGAATTCGGGAGTAAAATCCCCCCCCCCACTAATTCAAAGCCTGATCACCAATTGATTTAATACCTTGGCAACAAAATATAAAGGGGAACTCACCTTTCCTTATCAGAGCCTTGATTGCGAATGAGGTTAAATCAACTTAGGGGTAACTCGGAGTTAAGATCAAACAAGGGGAAGATAGCCTCAGACTTGATTGACATAAGGTCAAAGGTGGGACCAAACGCTAACTTCCACCTGGATTGATAAAGTGGATGGAATTAAACTGCTTACCAAAATGAGGAAGTCACGCGAATATCCGCAAAAGGATGCTGGAGATGGGGGATTCAAAATAAGCACTGTCAAAGGCGTAATAGAGTAAATTAAGCATTAAGGTCATTGACAAACTGTAACCAATTACAGGCCAACAACCCCCCCCCCCCCCCCAACGAATGAGGAAGAAACAACAAATTTCAGCCGCTTTAGCGGAAACTTATTAAAGTGCCATCCGATTCATGCATTGAAAATCGTAATTGATATAAGCAGGCGGAAAATTGGATTATTATTCCATTAGAATTGGAACTCTGAAGTAACAATCAGTTATAACAGAGAGATTGAATAAATACAAGTGAAAAAAAACATGGCAAGTAGATGTTTTAAATAATCAATTAACACACCGTGTTTGTTGCAGGCGAATTTGTTGTTAAAGGCCCAAAGTCGCACTTGGATTGAGGGAGGATCGATGGCGAAAACTTCTTCTCTTCTGGGCTCTCGAAGACCACTTTTGACAAGGAGAACGCCACCCGCACCCACGGTCAAATATTGGCCTTTCTCATCTTGGAACATGAGCTTCTGGGATGTAGCTATAAGCCAAAAAAAAACAGAGCGATTATTGTGACACCCTGGGGGTGTTTGCTTTCCCCACTCCCTACCAAACATTTTAATAACTGCCTTTCACAATTGGTGATGGTACACAAATGCGAATGGAAAATGAAATCGTGTGTCACTTTTGCCCAACAATCTGTTAGTCGGCACACCGATTAGAATACTCATCGGCGAAGTCGATAGCTAGGAGTTCGACAGCAGAATGTGAGTTTCTCCTAGCGCAAAGGTCTGAAGGACGAATGAAGATGAATCACTAACTAGAATTAAGAAAAAACGTCATTCTTTTGGCAAATTCTCTAGTACGTCAAATCGTCTAATTCAATTCTCTTATAGTAATTGAGTAAATATAAGTAGATCAAAATCATGTCGGGCTTATCGATTCAAGTAGATTCTCCCCAAGTGGATCCAGTCTTGGCATTAATCAGGAGGAGAGTGGGGGGGGGAGGGAAACCGATCCCCAAAATTGTGATCAGTCTGCAGACATTTTAATCCAAAGATGACAACACATAAGGCCCCTCTAACACACTGGCGGAAACTAAACTTCCTAGCATACCACAGCAGAACAGAACGGACTTAGTATACAAACAAACAAAACGGTTTCAAAGGATCTAAATGGAAAGATGGCGGGAAAAAAACAACTTACCAGGTTTGAATGAGACAGCGAAGAGAGTGGCTTCATCAATACTGCCAACAAGTTTGCCACTGGAGTGGAGATAACGACCCGATTGGGTGCGCAGAGCCACTCGAGAGAGTCTGGCCACCTCCTCTTTACCACACGAACTTTGAACCGACGCGGCTGGTAAGGGCAACTGCTGAAGCCAGAGAAGGAATTTGGGGCTGTTGGGCAACTTTGTCGCGACACGAAGCTCAGACTCCTTCTTAGCGCTGCGGATGACATTATTTCGGTTCACAGATCGTAGATGAATCTACAAAACAAAAAGGCAAATTCCGGTGCTTGAAATCTCGATATCCAGGACCCTATTGCCCGGGCCATTAATGAAAACATGTTGAGACACAGGGGCTTTGACACGATTGTCTCCCCTCCACCCCACCCCACCCCACCCCCCTCCTTTCCACCTTAAAAAGAAGGATAAAAACTTTGACTAATTACTATGGCCTAGGTAAGTCGAGGTTCCTAATTACAGTAAATATTTTATATTAACGCTATTCAATAATTCAGAATATCGATCTATCGATTTTCACCTGTAGGAGAACGTCACCCCCCTCCCCCTCCCATCTTTCATTCTGTTTGGTAGCATTGGAACGAACAATTTGAATTACGACTTAGTAAGCACCTTTCCACCAGGTTCTGAATACTCCCAATTGGGGAGTTTTAGTAACAACCTACTCATAATAATCCTCTTAGCCTCTCCCTCTTCAGAGTCCAGTTTATGCCAACAGTATCTTCACCTCCTCTTGGCTTAGATACAGCGAGTGGTGCCTGGTCTTCGGAGTATTTTTATATAAAAATAATTATGTTGGACAACTTGCAGATTGCTTTGTGGGAGGCAACATGCCCATAGTTAATTTCAGTTAACAGAAGAAACGCTAGAAAGTGAGTTCTCGTAAGAGCGGTCCTGTACTACATCCGTCCCTCTTCACAAGTCAAGTGTTCTAAACGCGCGTCTCCTAATGCAATTAGGAAATTCCAATGCCTATTGGATGCGAGGACCGGAAACGAAAAAAAAACAACTCCATTTTGGAGAAATGACTAACACTAGCCACAACGTAAAGGTCAAGCCACAAAAATGAATGTGATTGATGGGCAAAGTGGGTAAGAGAAACGAATGCAATACTTTTCAATAATGTCCCGGATAGCTCAGTCGGTAGAACACCAGACTTTTAATCTGAGGGTCCAGGGTTCGTGTCCCTGTTCGGGCGCCAGTGCACGAGGGTGTCGGTACGATCTTCTCTGCACATTATTTTGGGGTGTGCGATAGACTTACCTCCACGTGGTGCACCCTGGACAACGTATACTCATACGACAAATAAAGCCTATAAACCGGCAGTTGACTTTGACTTCAAACTACCCTCACCCCACTGTATGTCATATTCTACCACTTCCATAATACTCACCTTACCTTTTCTCTGCCTTTGTGTCTGTCAATCTCTTTTACATCCTTCAATCACTTTTCTGTTCCCCTCTCGAATTTTTCCCACTTTGATGTTCCTCCCCTCTGTGAAGCCCGAAGTCAGCTAAAGGACTAATGATAACTATCATAAAGCCTGCCATTTGAAATAAATAAATAAATACATTTAAATAGAGCATTGATTAGCTGTATGAGTTCCTAAAACCATCACGAACAAAGAGCAGCTTGGCCTTTAAATTGCTATTGGATTGGCAATAGGGTGATTTGGCGAACAAATGGGTTGAATTCCCCGCGATTTCGAAGGAGACCACAAGCTACTTAAAGATAAGAAGAGTTAAGAAAATTGACACTTTTATCGCTAATACAAAAAAAACTGAATTAAAAACGAGTTTCAACCCAAATAAACGCTAAGGGGATTCGAATAAGGTCACAGTGACACACTCACATACACACACACTGATAACCTGAGCGGTTGGGGTAGATGTGCTTACCCCAGATTTTGGATGGCCCACAAATTTGACAAGAGTAAGTTAGGAGACAGAGTGAGAGAAAAGTTGGGCAGGGGGTTAAGTGAGAGAGAGTTTGAGTCGTCCACTAGACAGTCGGGAAAGTCCACACGCCGACCGCATGGAAGCTCATGTCACCTTGACACCTGTGTCCCATCCAGACAACAATACCTATCTTATTCACTGAGTTGAGACATCATACTATTAGATCCAGAAAGTCTACCGGGAAGCCAAATTCAAAATCAATCCAATTACCAGCTTCCAATGAAGATGAAATGAAATAGCTGTCACAACTGCGTGAAATAAGAAGAAATAGCTTGTCAAAAGTATACAAAATATTAACAAGAACATTAGGGAAAAGGAGCTATAATACTGGATTTATAACAGAAATTAAATTATCTGGGCGGGGGGGGG